TTTTTTAAAAAAAAACCGGGTTTTCCCCCAAATTCGGGGAAAAAAAAATATTTGGTTTTAAACCCCCCGGGTTTTTTTTTTCCCCCCCCCCCAAAAAATTTTTTTTGGGGGTTGGGTTTTTTTTTTAAAAATTTTTAAAATTTTTTTTTCCCAAAAGGGGGGGAAAAAAAAAAAATTTTTAAAAAATTTTTTAAAAACCTTTTTTTTTTTGGTTTTTTTTCCCAAAAAATTTTTTTTTAAAACCCCCCAAAAGGGAAAAAATTTTGGGGGGGGCCCCGGGCCCCCCCAAAAAAGGGGAAAAAAAAAACCCCCCCCCCCCAAAAAAAACCCCCCCCGGAAAAAAAAAAATTTTTAAAAAAGGGAAAGGAAAATAAAATTTTTTTTGGGGGGGGCCCCCCCAAAAATTTTTTCCCCGGGGGGCCCCCCCGGTTTTTTTGGGGGTTTTTTAAAAAACCCCATTTGGGGGTTTTTTTTTTAATCCAAAATTTTTTAAAAGTTTTTTTTAAAAAAAAATTTTTTTTTTTTAAAAAAACGGGAAATAAAAAATTTTCGGGAAAAAACCCCCCCCCCGAAAAAAAAAAAAAAAAACCGGGGGTTTCCCAAAAAAAAGGGGGGGGTTTTTTTTTAAAAACCCCCCAAATTTTAAAAACCTTTTCCCCCCGGAATTTAAAACCCCCCCAAAAAAGGGGCCCCGGGCCCCCCCCCTTTTAAACCCCCCCAAAAAAAAAGGGGGGGGAATTTCCCTTTCCCCCCGGGAAAAAGGGGGTTTTTGGGGGGGGAAAATTTTCCCAAAACCCCCAAAAGGGGGGTTTTAAAAGGGGGCCTTTTGGGAAAATTTGGGGGGAAAAAATTTTAACAGGCCGGGGGGGCCCCCAAAAAAAGGCCCGGGGCCCCCGGGGGCCCTTTTAAACCCCGGGGGGGTTTGGTTTTGGGGGAAAAAAAAAAAAAAAAAAAAAAAGGGGGGGGGCCCCGGGGGAAAAAGGTTTTTTTTTCCCCCCCGGGGGAAGGCCCAAAGGGGGGGTTTGGGGGAAAATGGGAAACCCCCTTTTTCCTTTTTCCCGGGGGGTTTTTTAAAAAAATTTTTTCCCCCGGAAGGGTTTTGGGGGGGCCCCCAAAGGTTTTTCCGGGGTTTGAAAAAAAAAAAAGGGGGGTTTTTAAAAAACCCCCCCCCCCCCCCAAAAAACCCCCCCCTTTTTTTTAAAAAAAGGGGGAAAAATTTAAAAAAAAAAAAAACCCCCCCCCTTAAGGGGGGAAACCCCCCCAAAAAAAAAAACCCCAAAAAAAAAAAACCCCCCCCCGGGGTTTTAAAAAAAAGGGGTTTCCCTTTTAAAAAAAAAAGGCAAAAAAATTTTTTTAAAAAAAAATTTTTTTTTTTTTGGGGGCCAAAAATTTTTTTCCCCCGGAAAAGGAAAAATTTTTTTTAAAAATTAAAAAATTTCCCCCGTTTTTTTTTCCCAAAAAAACCCCCCAAAAAATTTTTTCCCCCCCCCCTTTTTTCCCCCTTTTTGGGGCCCTTGGGGGGGGAAAAATTTAAATTTGGCCCCTTGGGGGGGGTTTTTTGGGGGGGCCCCTTTTGGTTCCCCCCAAAAACCCCGGGGAAATTTTTTTTCCCCCAAAACCCCCCCAAATTTTGGGCCCCCCCAAAATTTTTTTTGGGGAAATTAAAATTTTCCCCCCCTTTTTTTAAAAAAAAAAAAAAAATTTTAAAGGGTTTTTTTTTTAAAGGGGGGCCAAAAAAGGGGGAAAGGAAAAGGGGAAAAGGGGGGTTTAAAAACTTGGGAATTTTTAAAAAAGCTTCCAAGTTCAAATTTAAAACCAAAAATTTTTTTTTTTTTTTTAAAAAGGGGAAAAAACCCCCGGAATTAGGTTTTAAAAAAAAAAAAAAAAAAAAATTAAAAAATTTTCCAAAATTTAAAACCCTTGTTTTTTTAAACCCTTTTTCCCCAAATTTTTTTTCCCCAAAAATTTTTTTTTTTTTTTAAAAAAACCCCCCCCCTTTTTTTTTTTTTTAAAAAAAACCCTTTTTTTTTTTAAAAGGGAAAAAAAAAAAAAAAAGGGTTCCTTTTTTTTTTTTCCCCAAAAACCAAAAAAAATTAATTTTGAAAATTTTTTTTAAAAATTTTAAAAAAAAAAAAAAAAATTTTTTTGGGGTTTTTTTAAAAATTTTCCCCCCCCCAAAAAAAAATTTTTTTTAAAAAAAAAAGGGGCTTTTTTAAAAAAGGGGGCCCCTTTTTTTCCCCCGGGTTTTTTTCCCCCCCAAAAATTTAAAAAAAAAAACCCCTTTTTTTTTTTAACCCACCCCCCCAATTTTTAAACCCCCCCCTTTTTTTAAAAAATTTAAAAAGGGGGGTTTTTTTAAAAAAAGGTTTTTTTTTTAAAAAAAAAACCCCCCCAAAATTTTTTTTAAAAAAAACCCCCCCCCAAAAAAAAAAAGGGAAAATTTTTTCCCCGGGGGGGTTTTTTTTTTTTAAAAAAATTTTTTTTTTTTTTGGGGGGGGCAAATTTTTTTTTAAAAAAGGGGGGGGGAAAACCGCCCCAAAAACCCCCAAAATTTTTTTTTTTTTTTCCCCCCGGGGGGGCCCCCAAAAAACCCCGGGGGGGCCCCCCGGGGGGGAAAAGAAAAAAAAAAAAGTTAAAATGCTCCTTCTTCCCCCTTTTATTCCCTTTTTCTTACTTTAATACCCAATTAACTTTTTTCTTCCTCTTCAACTATTTTTTTTCCGCTGATATTTTTTTCTATTCTAACTAAAATATTTAAACTGTTTTTTTTTATTTTACAATTTCCCTTTTTTTTTTTTTTTTAAACAAAATAAAAAAAAAAAAAAACATTTTAGGTGTACAAACCTTTTGCATTGTTTTTATACAAAATCAAAATTTAAACAGGAAAAATTTCCCGAATAAAATGTGCAGCAACATATTTATATTAAAATGAACACTTCTCAAAAAAGATGTAAAAAATTGGGGCTCGGGTCGTCATTGGAGGTGAACAGGTGTGGGGGGGTGAAGTGGTCTAACCTAAAAAATTTTAAATCTCTTCTGAAAACAGAGACTCGGGATAAAATGGTTGTAGCGCAGGTTTATGCCACATGCATTTGCCTTACGCTAGTCAAATCTAAAATTATAAGTAAAAACATTTTGCCCCAATTTCCTTTTAAAAACAATTCACCCCCTTATATAACCACAATTTTACAGTTTTCACAAAAATTGGAATGGTGGGAAATTTTTCCCAGGGAAAAAAAGGGGACTGCCCGTGACTGCCAAAAGGAAATTCCCCCCCCCCCAATCACTTTGAGGGGTTTGAGTAAAAACCTCTACAGCACTGTAAGAAAGTGAAGGAAATTTCTCCCTTGGGATACCTGCCCGGGGTTTTTAAAATCCCCCATCAAAAGCCAAAACTTTTTTTTTTTTTTGGGTCATAAGGTTGCTTAGATGTACATTTTGGTGAAAAAAGTGGTGGTTGGAATCATGAACCGTGTGGGTCCCCACTTTTTAGGGGAATAGGAAGTTCACTTAAAGGCTTGCCCGCCTTTGAAATGGAACATTGAAATCCCCCCTGTGTCTTTCGCTAGGCTAGTTTGTGGAGGAATACAGAGGGGGGCGTGGGGTTTTTACAGGCCCTCTTGAGTTCAACCAATATGGGAAGCAGCTGGGGATGAAATATCCTCTTCGGGGCAACAACCTGGGGCCCCCAAATACGAGGGGAAGTTTGGCCAGAAGCAGATTCCCCGATGGTCTCTATGTTAACCCGGAATTTTTTTCTGCCCCTCTTACATTGGGGCTTCTCATGCCCCTCCTGGTTTAAACTTTTCAGGAAACGGCAAGCGATTTTGTAAAGTGCAATCAGGATTTATTAAACAAGGTGGTGCAAGAAAAAATGATTTGAGGCAGGGGCGTGACTGACCATTTGGAAACTTCGGGCAGTGCCCGAGGGCCCATCGGGTCAGTAGGTGTGGGCCCTATGATATGCCCACTGTGTCACATTTTTCTTTTTTTAAATGCTTTTATGAAAGTTTGGGCAAGGACACAGTGGGCCCCATGATCCCCTATTGCCCGGGGGCCCGATGAGTTTGTAAGTCTCCCCACTGATTTGAGGGTATAGTCACCCTAAAGATGTGGTGAGTTACCTGTACCAGCAGTGTATTAGAAAGCCCATACAAAGGTATAGTTCCCTAGAAAGCTGCGTACGTCACACACTTCTGCAGAGGTTGCAGGATTCCATAGACGTGGTGTTGGAGTGCCCACCAAAGGTGTGCAGGTTCCATACAAGAGGCACACTCCCTGCTACAAACCTTTGGTAGCCCATAACTGAAACGTAATCGTCCATAGAGAGGCCTAGTTGCCCAAACAACTAACGTACGAGTTAGTCCTATTCATGGGTGTATGCATCAATATAAAATTAAATAACTCAAATGGCTTACTAGGGTGAATAAAAAAAAACAAAAATATTAATTATCCATTTAACAAATGAATACTGAAGCCGTGCACGACAACCCCTGTCTCCGAGGGGCCAAATAATAATAAGCATAAAAGGTGAAGAAAAAAATTGATGTGCACAATGCAACATTGCACAATGCCTATAAAATCAAGAAATGGTGAACATTTTGAATATAGATACGAATAATTCCAGGGAGAATACACAATCCTCCATCAAGTATCTGCACCTCACACAGTGGTGACTCTCACATTGTACAGATGTTACAGTCTAACTGCACTTTTGGTCCCAATTGGAACTCAGAATGATCAGCTTGTTGAAATGAGGACTCCAAAGTGAGCTCCCTCCTGAATAAACGTCTTAGGTGTCATCCGTTTATTCCTCATTAAAAAAAGATCTCACACAGCGCTTTATCCTTTTTAAACCGTCACCCCCATACGATTCGGAACCCTTGCATTTTTGTATCCAACTCTCCCAGACCCTTCATTCACTATATCTGTCTCCCCAGACCCTGCATTCACTGTGTATGCAATGTCCGCTTGAAACCCGTGCATTCACAATATCTCGCTCTCCCAGAACCCTGCATTCACTATATCCGATCTCCCCGGAACCTGTTATTCACTATATGTTTCTGGTCCTCAGAACCCTGCATGTCATTATAATTCTGGTCTCCCTGGACCCGGTGGATTCACGATATCCGCTTCTCCCCCCCGGTTTTTTTTTTTTAGGGAAAAACCCTGGCGTTCAACTAAAATCTGGTCTCCCTGCCACCTGCATTCACTTATATCCCGCTCTCCGCCCCTACACGCATTCACGTTATCCGCTCTCCCCGACCCTGCATGCACTGATATCCCGCTATCCCTGGACCCCCGCATTCACTATATCCGCTCTCCCCGGACCAACTCGCATTCACTAGTATTGCCTCTCCCTCGGACCTTGCCTTTCACTATATGCTGTGCACTGTCCCAGGGACCTGCACTATGCTCTCACCCGACCCTTCATTCACTATATCCGCTCCTCCCTGCACCCGCGCATTCACTCAGATCTGTTCCCCCGGAACCTGCATTCACTATCTATCCGCTCTCCCACCCCGTAACCCGCTTGTCACTATACCTGCGCTCTCCTCACTGACCCTGCATTCACTATATCTGGTTCTCCCGGACCCTGAATTCACTATATCCACTCTCTCTGGACCCTGCATTCACGATATCCGCCTACTCCCTGACCCCTGGCATTCACTAATATCCCTCGTCTCCTCGGAACCTGCATTCACTGTTGGTACTCCCTTATCTGTACCCTTCAACTTCAATTATATCCGCTCTCCCTGGACCCCCACTCACTATATCCGCTTTCCCCGTACCCCATTCATATAGCTGGTCTCCAGACTGTACACCTGCAATTCCACTATATTCGTCTCCCCGGACCCCGCATGTCACTATATCTGCTGGTCCCCTGGACCCTCGGCATTCACTATATCCGCTCTCCCCCGGACCCCGCATTCACTATATCCGCTCCTCCCCCCGGACCCCCGCATTCACTATATCCGCTCTCTCCAGGAACACCGTGCATTTGTGCACTTACTATATCTCCGCTCTCACCCAGACCCTTGCATATCACTATATCCGCTCTCCCCGGACCCTGCATTCACTATATCCGCTCTCCCCGGACCCCTGCATTCACTATTATCTGGTCTCCCCTGGACCCCGAATTCACTATATCCGCTCTCCCCAGACCCGCATTCACTATATCTGCTCCTCCCACACCCGTGCATTCACTAAATCTGGTCTCCTGGACCCCCCCGAATTCACTATATCCGACTCTCCCCTGACCCCGCATTCACTATATCCAGCTACGTCCCCGACCCTGCATTCACTATATCCGCTCTCCCTGACCCCCGCATTCACTAAATCTGGTCTCCCCACCTGGACCCCCGCATTCACTAATCCGCTCTCCCCGGACCCCCGCATTCAATATATCCGCTCTCCCAAGACCCCGCATTCACTATAATTCTGCTCTCCCCACGACGCAATTCGACTAGGAGTTTACCCTGTGGGATTCACTATATCTGGTCTCCCTGGACCCGGCATTCACTATATCCACTCTCTCCCCGAGGACCCTGCATTCACTATATCCGCTCTCCCCGGACCCCTGCATTCACTATATCCGCTCTCCCCAGACCCTGCTTGCACTGTTCCACTATAATCCGCTCTCCCCCGGACCCTGCTTTCATAATATCCGCTCTCCCCGGACCCCGCATTCACTATATCCGATCCGCTCTCCCCATGGACCTCCTGCATTCACTAATATCCGCTCTCCCGGGACCTGCCATAATCGCTCTCGCAGACCCCGCATTTCACTATATCGCTCTCCCCAGACCCTGCATTCACTATCTATATCCCCTCTCCCCGTCCGGACCCGCGCATTCACTATATCCGCTCTCCCCGGACCCCCCCGCGATTCCACTATTATCCGCTTCTCCCCTGGACCCGGCCATTTTTTTGCTATATCTGGTCTCCACAGTACACACAACATGGAAATGCAATTATGTTGCAGCTTGCCTCCAAGGCTCTATTCTGTCGGGAGATGAAATATGAACTGTGGAAAAGGGAAAGGTTATCAGAAGACAGGATCAAACAGCCATTTTACACAATGCGGATGATTAACACCCTTAGATTCCACAGTGAGTATAACAAGGCAAACAACGCTTTACTGCATCTACAGACTGATTGGACTGTTGGGGGTTTAGTAACACTGTAAAGGTCTTACCATGGGGTGACTCCTAAAAAAATATATTACCTGTAAGGTTGATTTGATGCATCAAAGTGTGTACCATCCTCACAGCTCACGTTCCATGGTGCTCTCCTATTCACATTCTGTCCTCACCCTTCTCTTGTCTTTGGTCAAATTGTAAAATTCTATAATAATTTGCACATTGTATTCAATGATTTGCTATTCTGCTCCTATTATTCTGAACCATCTAGGACGTTATGCGTTTATTTGTGGTGAAGATCTCACACGGTTTATCTTGAATTCTGTGACACGTAGTCTCATATGCACTGTGAGTAGGCTGTTGTCACACAATTCACGAGAGCCTGCCTTCTGAATCTGGGGTACTGAGGAGTTCAGGAGGCGAGTCAGTACAGGAAGCACTTTACAGGCAATGCAATGTACCATTGGGATATGTGAGTCTTAGAAATGGAGAGAAGCGCAAAGCATGAGGGAATCCAACAAAGTTTTGGAAAGAGGACAGCGCACAGGCTGCAGTCACAACGTGATAAGGAGGTTTTTATTGGATCGTCCAGATTATATATTATTTGTATTACTATCAACAATGCCGTGGTATATATGGAAGTTGTCACCAGGGGAGCGCCTTCCAGTTGCTTGCTTTCCTATAATAAAACCCGATGATAAATTTTTGGGCATTGTCCCAAAAAACTTGTTTCTCTATCTTTTTGTTACCTTTTCTATGCACCCAGGGAAATGTATGTAAGGTTTCCCTGGGTTTTATAAACGCCTGGGTTTAACGATTTTTGGTTATGAATGAAAATCCTTTGAAAATAACGCCCGGTTTGTAAATTTGTTTTCCCCCATATGAAGTGTAGTCGGTGTTGATTTTAAATGCAATTGCCGGCTTTTTTTTTCTTCCTATGGCTCACAGAATTACTTTCACTTTCCCCGGAGAAAAGGGAAAACTTGTTTTTTTTAAACTGGGGGGGGAATAAATAAAAACACTTTTTTTGTGGGGGGAAATTAACAGCTGAATTCTGAGCTTTTGAAAAAAAAAAAAATGGTAATTACATTAAAAACCCGGCACCAAAATAAAAAAAAAAACAACTGGGGCCCCCCCTCCATTAAAACCCAAGCCCTTAGGGCAAATTTGGGGTTTTGAAAAGAACCCCCACGCCAAAGTTTAAAAAAAAAATGGTGGGGGGCCCCCCCCCAAGTGCATATCAGACCTTATTGAGCATGCAGCCTGGAGGTCAGGAAAGGGGGGGGGGGAAAAGCAAGCGCCCCCCCCTCTAAACCATACCAGGTCACATGCCTCAACAGGGGGGGGTGCTTTGGGGCAGGGGGGGGCTTCCCTTCAAAGCAATTGCCCCCTGTTGTTGGGGACAAGGGCCCCTTTTTCCCCAACAACCCTGGTGTGGTTTGGGGGTCTGAAGGCAGGGGGCTTATGTAATCGGGAAGCCCCTCTTTAGCAAGGGGGCCCCCAGATCCTGCCACCCCCCCATGTGAATGAGTAGGGGTGCATGGTACCGTTCCCCATTCACAAAAAAAAAAGTGTACTGGAAAAAAAAAAGGAGCAGTCTGACAAGTCTTTATTAAACGAAAAAAAATAAAAAATCCCCCCCAAGTAGATCCAACGCAATCACGAAGCCTGCCGCTACCCGAAAAGGAAAAAAAAAAAAGGCTCTGCCCCCGCGCGGCCCCCACCCTCTCCTGCTCCACGGGTTTGAATTCTTAAATATGTAAGGGCGGGGCCACCCATGACATACTGTGGGGCCCACCCCCCTTGTGGGTCATCAATGGGGGCATGTGGGTCAATGACATCACAAGGGTGGGGCACAGTGTGTGCAGGGGTGGCCCCCCCCTTATGTATTTAAAAACGTTAACCCAGTTCAGAGGCAGACAGGGGAGCCATTGTGGGAGGAGCCTTTTTTTTAAAATTATTTTTCCCGGTCAAGGCAGATATCGTAATTGCGTTGGATTACGGGGGGACTTTTTCCCTTTTGTTTTTCTTTATAAAAGGACTTGCAAAGACGTTGCCCTGTCTTTTTTTACACTTGTTTTTTGTTTTTTTGTGAAGGGGGTAGGGGGACCTGTACCTCATACCTTTCACATGGGGGGCGGGGATCTTGTTAAAGGGGGCTTCCGATTCTATAAGCACCCTGCCCGCAGCCCCCCAAAACCACCAGCCAGAATTTGGGGAAAAAGGAATATTTTTGTCCCCCCCCCCCCCCCTGCCTCCCCTGATCTCGGAAAGGGGCTGGTATGGTTTTTGGGGGGGACCCCCCCCCTTTTTTTTTTTTTTTTTTTTACATTTTGGATGGGATTTCCCCCTCAAAATCCGAACAGACCCAAGTGCATGGTATAGATGGGGGGGGGGGGACCCCCACCTTTTTTTTTTTTTTTTTTTTTAAATTTTTGGGCGTTCTTTCTTTTTTAGCTGAAAAGTGGGGAACCCGCTACAGCTGAAACATTAACAAGGGTTTGTCACTACAAAAACCACAGATTGAAAACATAACTCATGCAGTATTTTAGTAGCTTTTACTTTTTTTGACCCCCGGAAAACGGAAAATTTTGGGTTTTTTAAATGCTTTCCCCTATGGGAAACTGGTTTTGGTTTACAAATTTATTTGCTATGCAAAAAGCCGCGAACGTTAAAATTTTCGAAAACCCGAGGTATGCCTGTATTTATTTTTTACAAACTTTTTTTTATTTTTTTTTCCCCAAAAAAGCTAAAAAAAAAAATCAAGATAAAAAAATTTACAAACAAGAAAAAAAAACCCCGTGCCATCTGAACAAAGGATACATTTAGGCCCCAGTTTAAACCCCCATGCAGTTTGCATTTGAAACTTTTTACAGTGCTTTTTGTGGGGCATTTTTCGTTTTTGCCACTGCGTTTTTACGTGTTTTGCAGGGGTTTTTTTTCAACTTGTTGTGCAGTTAAAAAAGAAAAAAAGATAAAAATGCCACAAAACACACTACATGGATTTCTCAGTGTTCCCCTTGAAATCTATTTTAAACCAAAAATGCAATGTTTTTCATTTAAAAAAACCCCCCGACTTTCGAAAAAAAAGCACCCCGGTTGAAAAAGCGACATGTGAACCTGTCCCATTTGCAGAAATGCAAAGTTTTCCCTTTAATGCAACGCGAAAAAGCTACTGAAAACGCGTAGGTGTGAACCTAGACTAAGGGGGATTCTAAAAGCTCAAGGTTTTTTACCTTTATGCATTCCTTTTTAAAAAAAAAAACTTTTTGTGTGCAGCATCCCCCCAGCCCCCATAATACTCACCTAAGCCCCCCTCGATCCAGTGAGGCATTGGGTCTCTTCCCCATTGTGAGATAGAAGCAGGAGCCATTGGCTCCCATGCTGTCAATCAAGCCAGTGAGCCCAAAGAGAAGAGAGAGGGGGGGGCCCCAGCCGTGGGGTCCATGGTGAATAGACACAGGGGCAGTTGGTGCCCCCCTTAAGCTGCTTGCTGTGGGGTCACCTGACTGAGGGGGGAGCCAGGAGCCAAGGGGGGGCCAGTGAAAAGGGTTCCACTGGGTTTTGTGCAAAACCCCGGACACAGCAGGTAAGTATGACATGTTTGTTATGAAAAAAAAAAAAAAAAACCCTTTTGAATCACTTTAAGAATGGACGGGTTAAGTAAATACCGACCTCATCCAGGGTTTGGGCATGATTTTTAAATATAAAGAGTAGTCTCCTAAAAAAAAATAAGTGCAGGGTTCTTAACTTTATACTGGGTCCAAATCCAAAGTCATGGCATCCAAAAAGGTCCCCCTTTTGGTTTTAAGGGGGTTTTTGACCGGTAGAGAACAGCGATAGTAAATAGAACCCCTTGCAGAATTGAGGTAATGATTGGGGGGGGAAATTCCTCATCAGACATGAAAACGATTCGCGGACTAGCTCAGCGATGTGCAACTTTGGGGTCTATTTAAATTTCGTGTTTTTGGTTTTTATTATTTTATTGAATTACTTTTTTTTTATTTTTTTTTTTTTAATTTTATTTTTTTTGATTATTTAAAATATAATTTAGATTTCGTGTTTTTAAACTTTATCCTCCCCGGGATGTTTAATAGATCTTGTTCAGACGTTTCAGTGAGTTATTCCTAAAAATACAGGCCTACAATATGAGAAAAAACAATTTCCCTGTCAAAAAATGTACGGCCCTTTGAATTCAAAATATTGATCATTTAGACCCCCAGGGGGTTTTAAAGAAAAAAAAAATCAACTTTCATTAAAGCCCGGAGACGGATGGTGGGAAGCAGAAACT